AATATGTAAGGAATACTGGAGCTTGGTTGGGGTGGTGGGGTGGCTCGTGGTGGGTGCTGGAAAATTTCCATTATTTTCAAATCCAAAACAACAGGTATGGTTGGGTCCATAAGACATTTTTGCAATTTCTGTAATCTTCACTCTGTATACCATCACAATGAATTTAAAATTAAGCAATAAAGATGTGATGGAAGTATATTCTTTCAGCTTTAATTTAAGGGGCTTAACAAAGCTATTGCATTAAGCTTTCAGAAATTACTGCCATTTTTCAGAGTCCCTCCATTTTCAGAAGCTCAAAAGTAATTGGTCACGTGACTGACACACAGTTTCTTGCCCAGGTGTGGCCTGTTACTCCATGACAGATTAAATGTAGATAAAAGGTCTGGAGTTGATTCCAAGCACTGAATTTGCGCTTGGTAGCTATTCACTGGAACTCAGCATGAGGTCCAAAGAGGTGTCAATGCAGGCGAAGGAGGTCATCATTAGGCTGAAAAAAAACACAAACCTAAAACTTCATGAGTGCCCAAATCAATAATTCACCTGTCCCGGGCATGGGAGGTGAGAGAGAGAAATAATAGCTCCAGTGGATTTCCGAATCAGTTTTTTTTTTTTTTAATAGTTGGAATGTTCAGAAAAATGATTGACTCAGTATGTCACACTTTTTCTTCTGTTGCAGATTACCACAGTGAGACTGTTTAGGGGAAGATAATTAGAAATAAACAAAATATATGTTAAGAACTTTCATCACCATCTACATTTAGAAAAATGTTAAATTATACTCTACTTTGCCTAGTACTGAGTCCAAGATTAAGCATACATTGTTTTGGTCTTTGGAAATAAATGTCTTTTGATATTTTAATGTTTCTTTTTCTCAGTCTCATTCCCTAATGATTACGTTAAATAAATTATATTAAAGTCATTAAAGTAGTTTAATGAGAGAGAACTTTCAAAGGGTCAATATGAGCTTGCTAGCCTTATGGAATATATGTACAGTGCTCACAGAATTCTTGTGACACTTGCATAATTCTGTAAAAACGTGGCAAATTTATTGGTTTCATGACAAATGTCCATTGACAAGCAGCATTTAACAACAAATAATAAGTGATTCTTTGTCCCCATGGGGAAATTCTCTTTACAGCTCCCCCAACTTACTGTCTGTAAATGAGAGCAACCTGGCTGCTCATCTTCCTCACAGACATTTTCTTTTTATTAAGTATGATACATTTTTTTGACTGACTCATTCAGGCAGGTCTGTCCTTGCCTGTTCTTGTTAATTGCAATTGTAGTCACTGGCTCCCAAAGGGATATTAAACACAAATGTTTGGTGTTATTTCAATGTTAACAAATAAAAACCAGCCAATGAGACTGCTTGTCAATGAACTTTTTAACTCAGAAATGCTCTTTTAGAACTATAATTTGGGTTTAAATTTATTACTACTTCAATGTTTTACTTAAAATTACTGGTTGTTTCCAATATGATATACATACAAATTTGCAATATTTTTATTGAATTAAGGTAGCGTCCCAAGACACTCTTTGAGTGTGTATATCAAGTTATACATAAATAACTGTTTCCAGAAGCGGTACATATGTCGTCTTTATGTTGCTAATGCCGTCGTCACGGAGATGTTCAGTTTTAGGATTCCCGTGGCATTCTGGACAAGGATTGAGTGAAAATCTTTCCCCGCTGACTGATCTTGTATTATCTTGCCGGCACGGGTGGTAGGATATGTACTGCATGCTGGAGGCACTCAGACAAACCCTGTGTGTCGGTTTGGCCCCGGTCAGTCTTTCTGTAATTTGTAATGACCTTGTGGGTCTGGTTCTCTGGGTAAAGTTCAAAACCACAGGCTGTTCTGCAGACTCAGGCTTTTTGGGTCTTGCGTTTGTGCAGCTCCCTGCTTAGCTTCTGCCTTTGTGTGTCAATCTTAGAAAAATTAAAATGAATAAGAACTTCTCATAGCTTATTTTTCTATGCGATGGTTTAGTTGGCATGTGAGTTGGGAATGTAGTAGACTAGGCTAAAGTGTGATTGAAATGGCCTTTTGGTGGTCATGCTTGGTTATTTGAGTAGCACTGCTGTTCTTCATGTGGGCTTTCCATTAGCTTCAAAGGGTTTGGCCAATCTGCTCTGACCTCTCATTAATAAGCCGCTTTCCACTACAGAAATGTCTCTGACTGGATGCTTCTTGTTTAGCGTTTATTAGAGCTTACCATCCTCTATAACTCTAGACCAGTGTTTCCCAACTTGGTCCTCAGGGACATTTTTGCTCCCTCACAGCTCCTGGTAGGGCCCAAAAATGTGGACCATCTGGGGTGGCCCTGTCGATTGGGTTGGGAAACACCGAATTAGATTTTGTAGGGTATGAAAATCCAAGGAAGGTGGCTTTTTCGAAGATCACAGAATCCTCCAAACCTGGTGCCGAGTCACTTGTTCAACATCATGTAGCTCACAGTTTTAATACTTAAATACACGGTAACCTCTTGACCCTGCCTTTGTGCTGTAGGCCTTGAATTGCATGCATGTGATTTGCTCTATGTAAGAATTTGCAATAAGGAGCAGGTGTACATAATTAAGAGGTCTCTGATTGTATTTTCAGCAGCTCTGCCAATGTTTGCTCTTTATCATTTGCTTTCTAGCATATTAGCGAGCGTTTATGCTGTTTGCTGTCATGTGTGTGTGTGTGTGTGTGTGTGTGTGTGTGTGTGTGTGGTAATTGCTGAGAGTAATACTTTTATGTTTGTTTTTGTTATTTCTGGACGTGACCTTGCCCAGTTGGTTCTTGTTTGCAATTTGGGTCATTTTTCCTTTGGAGAATGGATCATGCTAGGCTGTGTGATAAAGTGCTTTGTTGTTTTGCTAACTGGCTAGTGGAGCTTGTAACATTGGAGTCCTGCTTAGGCATTGGCCTAAAGTCAAGTGCTTCTTGATTTTCCACACTGACCTATTTCATCTATTAAGTTTGATGGAACCAGTTTATATTAACCTGTGGGATTACAGCTGTCCTTTTTCCAATCACGTTTACTGTTAACCAAGAATGTTATAACCTTTTTGAATACTTGAGAACTTTAAACATTGATGAAACTGCTGATTGATGGTATCTGTGTGCTCTTTCTCTTGGTCTCTTCTTCCAGTGCCTGCTTGTTCTGGATCACCTTGGTTTGTGGGTTTCTGGAGGCAATGAGATGTGTGTCTGGAACCGGAACTTCGACCTCCTGTGTAGGACTGATCACCATAGCGATGCGGGTGTGTGGCACACCTGGGGGGGCAGTGTGATATAGAGCAGTAGGCAGTTCATCAAGAACAAAATTATTGTGCGTCATTCATATAATAAGTGCCAGTTTTTTGACAGGAATTGCTGCTATGGTTGAGTTGCCGAAGAACTGCATAGCTGCTGCTGTGGACAAAGAAATAGGTTCGTATCAAGAAACAAGAGTTTATAATCTGGCGAGACATCAGCATAACAAAATGGGGTCATGTGAACCCTTGGCAGTAATGAGTGCTCTCTTGGGGATCATTACAGTCATTTACAGACTGAGCAGCGTTGCAAATGAAGCAGACATGGCAGTGACTGAAGTCCGCAGGCTAACAGACCACCGGGACAGCATACGAGCTCTGATCACTATTAATGGTAAGTCAGTGCTTTAGGCGACTGTCGCATGTTTTTGTGCATGTCAGTGTCCTTGTTCCGTTTCAGGGTCTTCCTCAGAAGAGCCCACCTCTGCTTTCGGAATCTTTTTTGCGTGTTCAGTCGTTATTTTTAGCTTATTCTGACACTGTTTGCATGACACTGAAAAAGAGCTGCAGGTCTATAAAAATGCTTGTGGGTAGTTGGGTTTTTGGCTCTTGAAGGTCTTGGTCCCGGTGGTGCTTGTATTCCTCCTCAGATCAGCTGTTTGCCAGCGGTTCTCACATCGGGGAGCTCATTGTGTGGCACTCCTTGGACTGGACCCCCCAGGTTTTTGAGTGCATCCTGTGGGACCACCCACACGTCAGCCCTCAGGAGGAGATCAAACTCGGAGGGCAGAAGCAGAGCGAGATGTCAATCCACCACATGGCCTCGGTTGGAGAGGTAGGCGTGCCTGGCAGACGCAGGCCATTCTTATATCAAACTAGAGGTTTCACGTCAGCTGTCGATGTGTTTCCTTGCTATCGTCTTGTTTTTCCACACTGAGCAGATTTTCACCGTCCTGATCTGGGCAGGCAGCAGTGTGTGGGTGTTTCAAAAGTAATTGCTGGACTTACTGTACCAATTTAGCACCTTCCTAGATAGCATGAGACCTGTAGCTTTCTGAATACCATGAACACGGCTGAGGAAACAACTTATCTAGAGAGATGCCGATGGACTCTAAACTTCCCTTCCCCAGTTCATTGCTGCTGCTGTTGGAAGTGGACTGTATATCTACAACATACTGACAAGGAGTGTGGTTGCCTACAGGAAGACTGCCCATGACTCCAACATCCGGCAGATCCTGCTGCTGCCCGAAGGGTTTGTACTGCGTTTAGGCTCATTCCATAGCAGCACCTGAGTCCTACTGGTCCAAATCCTTGTCAAAATTATGCTTCGGGGTCTGGTACACATGAGGAAAAAAGATTTTTTTTTATTCATTTATGAACATATTGAAATATTCACAAATATACAACATTGCTTTTTCATGCATATGGAAAATACATTATTGTTGAGGTACAGCTGGAGTGTTTGTAACACTTAATTTTTTGTCCTTTTATCCCAAAGTCTAGGTGCCTTAACAATTTTAAGTATTGTATTTGTATTATAGAACAATGAAAATCAAGAGATACTATTAGATACTACTTTCCTGACTACACAAATCAAAAATTTGAAAATCCCCTTATTGAATTGTGATTTACTGTTTTTACCCATTTGTGTTTCTATGTATGTATAGATTTAAAATTCTAAAGCTAATTGCCTTTGCTCTTTGCACAGTGACTTGCATGGCACTGTGGTTTGACACCCCCGTGGGTGGGGGATTGTGTCTGGCCCCCGGCTGTGTGTGATATGAGACTGTGGACTTTGCATGTTCTCTATGTGCTTGTGCAGATCCCCTCCCCACCATTAGATCCCCGTCATTGTGCACACGAGGGCCACATATGGTGTGTTCTACTCAAAAATCGGAACAGTGGCAAGACAAGCACGCCTCCATCGTTCATTGGCCATGGGAAATGTAGCAGGAAGTAAGAAAGGAGATTGGACCAACACCTTTGCTACCCTCTATGATTAGACTGAGAGCAGCTTTGCCCTGTTGTCAAAGTACACTATGGTGCAAGAGCTATGAATGTCCAGGAACACGGAATGTGTGCTATGTCACGCATTGTCTGCAGCTGCTGGAAACCAGCCCTAAGATGTAGAGCTGGGCGGTATGACCAAAAATTTATATCACGGTATTTTTCAAAGTTATATCAGTTTCACGGTATACGACGTATTGGTATCAATAATGGTGAAAATGAGTATCTAATCAGATACTAATTTTTTAATATCGATTAGTATCTGAGAATAGATTTTTTGACAACCCCAGTGTCTCGTTATTTTCAACTGCAGCGTCAGCTATATCTTCCGTTTCTGATCTTTCGCTGTACATTTTTAAATAGTTATACTTAATACAGTGGTACCTGAGTTCTCGAACTCATTAGAACTCGAATTTCTTAAATTACCTAGAGCTGGATCTGAATCTCAGAAGTCAAACCATGAACGCCGACCTAAGACAACTTGTACACCCAGGGAAAAGCGGCACGTCTCTCAGCGGAAACAAAGGGTAACGCTTCAGTCTCAGCTGTGATAGCACCATGCATGTTTACACTAACTGAATACATATATTTAGACAGTAAAAATACATTTAGACAATGATAGACAGTAACAGTAATTATTAATATATAATAAAATATATTTAAAAATAAAGGTTTCTTATTCATTATTTTAATATTAATAATAAATCATTAATACGTTTAATTATAATAATATTGTGCCGAGCGGGGACGGAACGGAGACAAAGGCGCAGATGTCAGGGTATCGGGGAATACGGGGTTTAATTACAGGTAAGGCAGGCAAAACGCAGACGGACAATACAATGACCGGACTGGGGAAACAAACTGAAATTAATGACAACAACCAGAAACAGCTGATCACACGGTGATTCCACGCGGGGTTACGAGGGGGCGTGGCACACGGAAGGAGCGGACGATCGGGGCAGGACACTTTGGATGCATTTATTTTCTTACTTTACAAATTACTGTTTTGATAAATGTGCTTAGATGTGTTTAGTACAGTATATGCTCTTCTTGTTTTATCCGGTTCATTTTTTGTTTAAATGCTAAAAAAAACGTTTAGGTGTAACTTTTTTTGGGGCCGGGAAACAATTAATTGGTTTTCTATTATTTCTTATGGGGAAAATTCGATCAGATGTCGAACTTTTTAGGATTCGATCCGGAGTTCTGAACGGATTAAATTCGAGTTCTGAGGTACCACTGTACTTAAACAGTTTCCATCTGCGCCGCTTTCCGAACGTTGTGTAGGCTATTTAAACCGGTATTGCGGTATAAGAAAAATTCATATCATAATAATAATAAACTGTTTTCAGTATAAACCGGTATACTGCCCAACACTACTAAGATGCCTGATCTAAGACGTTTTAAACATGGTGTGATTGATAGACATGGTGGTTCTAGTATCTCAGAAACAGCTAAGATGAATTTGTTAGCTATACTGGTAAAGGATTTAATGTATGTCTTTTTTGTTGCTTGTTTAAACATCGCTACTATAATATAGTGATGAGAATCTATGAAATATTTCAACTGTTGGGGACCTGGAGCCCAGCCCAGGCAGCACTGAGCACAAGGCTGGGCATTATTCTTTAAAAACGATATGTGCGACAGTCGATTGTGGTGACAGTGTAAATGCGTACTTATGCATTTGCGCTGATATGAAAACAAAATATAATGCATTTTAATCTTTATATGCTAATTCTCCTTCATTTGCAGTATACAGGTTAAAATGCAAGGTATTTTCTTGTCATAGCAGCGCAAATGCATTTTTAGAAACAATCGATTGTCGCACGTATTTCTTTTAAAGGTGAATGCGTACTTGCGTACCAGTTATGTCCATCCCTGAGTATAGTAATTGTTTGTAATGTACCATAAATCTACCTAAAATGTAGATGTTGGTCATTAAATGAGGAGGTAAGACTTGTAGGAGGGATTTTAATATCCTTGAATGATTTCACTGCATGGGGAAATAAGGCTGTGTGGAGATGTATAGTTGGGGGGGGGGGGGGGTCTGAAGGGTGACGTAGCATGTGAAGTGTTGTGTCCCCCCCTGCAGGCAGCTGATGTCCTGCTCTGAGGACGGCAGTGTGAGGATATGGGAGCTCCAGGACCTTCCTCTGCCAGCAGAACCAGCCAGCGCAGGTGACGGCCTGGTCCATAAAGCTCTCCTGGGTGTTTCAGCACGGCGTATGTTTATGAGATGCTCATTGCCAGTTATGAAGACAGGTCCATGTAAGGCTTGGGGTGTTGGTGCCAAAGTCCAAGCTAACGGCATACAGTCAGTTACAGAACTGGATTCAGCTCATATTGAGGGTGCAATCTGTAAAGCCTTAAAAAAAAAAAAAAAATGATATATGATCTTTTTTCCAGTATTTGAACTTGATTTGTTACTTCACCATTACTATGTGAAATTCATCATGTGTTTGAAATGATTATTTGGAATTTGTGCAAGTACAGTATGTGACTGCCGACAGTGGGATTTGAACTGGCGACCTCCTGAGCGCAGGCGCAGAGCCACAAACTGTTTGTGCTCCTTGAAGTAGTTTCTATACTGCTGCCAAGAGTGCTGCTTAGTTGAAACGTACTGTACATCCACACTCTTATTTTATGTGTATACAAATCATCCAGATCATGGGTGAAGTCTTGCATGCGTTGCAGCCTTCCTTCAATGTTAGCTGTAATTGCCAAAGGAACTTCCGTCCTGACTTCAAAGGCCATGAAGCAGAGGGTTTGTGTTGCAGCTTCAAAACCTGAGGACCTTTGGAGGGAAACTGCACTTTAACCCCTGCACTCCTGTTGCGTTCTGGCTGATGCAGTGCAGGTGGTGCTTTGTAGATCACTGAAGCAGGAGAGCAGAAAGACCCCATTCAGTCTCTGCTTTGGAAACACATTTCAAACTAAACACTTTCTCATATGCATCTCTTTGGTTTTGCCACCAAACTACTGATCTCATGGGACCCGTCTCAAGTCTTGGTGGAGACTGGGACCATGTCACCAGGAGTAATGTTTGCCACATGTCTAGTGGCTTGGCACTGCAATGGGATTTCCACTGTTCATTCATCGTACCTCTATCGCTAACTTTAGAGAAATCTATGTAGTTGCATTCTGAGATTCCCTGTTTCAGTATGATGTAATAATTTAGGGTTCTCTCTTATGGGTCCTCCTCTGTGTAGATTTATATTGAGAATTTTAAAAGATATATTGACTGAGCTTCAGGTGAATGTGGTACACATACGCACGCACTTTTGTGTGCCATTTGACTTTCTGGAGCATTCGCACAAGGAGGAAGAGCATCAGTGTGTCATTGGTGGTTTTTGCTATAGAAAGATGATGGTGTCCCGCTCCATCTCAGGCTTCTTTGGAATGTGGAGTTTCGGGAGGACGAGCAAACAGGCCAGCCAACCAGTGAAAAAGGTCCAGGAGGCTCCGGCCCTTCGCACCCTGGAACTGATCGGAGATCTGATTGGACACTCTGGAGCCATCCAGGTAAAGCTACTGACTTGTAGTCTAAGCACAGTCAACAACGTGCAAAATTTTGAAGTTATAGTTGACTTTATAAAATAATTGTAGGGCTCTGAAGTGTCCCCTATTAAGTAGTCCCTCCCCAGGAAGAAAAACCCCATCCTAAAGAGGGGTTGGTAGTCCATATTCCTTAGTTACTCCGTCCTCCTTCCATGAAATTCCAGTCCTGCTACAGTGCGACTAATGCGTTCCTATAAAACCTTGCATTCACTAAAATCCTGTACAAAAATACACATATCCAATTGGAAAAATTTGATGAGGCGATTGCTACTCCAAAACTTAGTAACTTACGTCGAAACAAAAGGAAACAGTGGTGCCAGTGCCCCATAATGTAATTAGATACTTTTCAAGTAAGAAATCATAATAGAATATTAATAGATTATATCATAAACATCCCCTATGGGTCTTATGAGTCTCACGAGAATCGCCCAGCAACTGATTCAACCGACAGTGCTGAACTGTCTAACTTGCTGATTGCTGAGAGCCAGGGAATAGGGTTAGCCCAAACGACACAACATGAGCCATTTGCTGTATTATTGATCTTGGTATACTTAGGAGCATGGTCTTAGTCCTTTTTTGAACGGAGAACATCTAGTGGGGTCAGAAAATACAGCAAATGGTTCATGAATCGTTGTTTTAGCCATCGTTTAGGCCAGACATGCAAACAGCACAAATACAACGGATTGTGGTATGCAGAGGGGCCCTGAAGGCAACATGGCTATAGACAGTCTACAAAAAGCAAATGTAAGTGAATTTAAAAATGTCGCTGTGTTTTTATATAATTTGTCAAATTTTTAGAAGCTAAGAATTACACCTGTGCAGTACAGGGATGTACAAAACGTTTGATTCTTTTAGAATTGAAAACTGGGTCGACCGATTTCATCGCAAAAGAACCAGTTCAAAAGAACAATTTCTTAACTTGGATAGCTGTCACTGTGTGCAAGTAGTGCTTCTTGCTTAGAAGTTGCAGTTTGCGTAGTGTTTTTCTCTCCAATTGAAAATCACACAAAACACAAATGCGATTCCGCGTCTTATTGGACTTGGGTATTAATATATGAATCATGCTGGAACAGATTTTAGGTGTGATATCTCATGTTGTGGCAGGACTGACTGTAATTGTAGCTGCAACTTGTCTGCAGTCCTTACGTCGTCAGACTCGTTATGAACCCCAATGGTCGTTACCCCTCCTCCTTAGATGTTCATTAACTTCACGGACCGAGGGCTGGTCTCATGCTCCACGGATCACCTGATCATCATATGGAAGAATGGTGAGAGGGAGTCTGGGCTGAGAAGCAGCTCCCTCTTCCACAAGTTGGACCAGAACGGAGGCCTCTGAATTGGTGTAATGCCCAGCAGTGGTGCTGTGACCTGAGGGACATCATACCTCTGCACCAAAATATAGGCCGTATTTATTGTGAGGTGCTTTTACTTTTTATTATGGTGTCCTGTCATTGACTGAAGTCTCATTCTGCCTTGTTCCCTGTCTTTTTTTGGGATAAACAGTTATGGAAGATGGATGTTTTATTAGTGTTATTTGTGTGTTTTTCACTCTAGTGCTTTAAGCATGCTGTTGGTTCTTGTACTGTACCTGGCCGACTGCTGTGAGAGACCAGGCATAGTTCAAATACCATTCTGCCAGTAAATGTAAGCCTTGAATCAGAAATCAGGATGACAGAATGTGAGTTTCCGGTTTTGTTTCATTTTAAATTTTATTGCACTCGTACAGTTTGTATATTTTAAAACAACCATTTGTGTCAATCGTAAAGAACACATTGTTATATTTACAGTATTTCACTGAATGCCAAATAAATGGTTTTCTATGAGATTGTACAAAATAAACGTAAAAGGTCTTTAGTTGCCTGTCAACCACAGTACTGCTTTGTTTACCATATCTCACAAGTACAGCATTGTGTTGTGACCCCAAAAAGTCTCCTTTAACAAAACAAAGTTAAACAAAAGTACTGAAATAATATTTCAGACTATTACAGTCACTACATTGAATGTGGAATGTTACGGTTGAACCAGCATGACGTTGATGTACCCACTGTAACAACTAAGAACATTACGATAGAATCTTTGAAAAATACAGATGATTTTAATTGCATGATGCCATAATTTTCAGTGTTAAAGGCGATTTCTTTTTTAAAAAATAGAGCTTATATACAACTTTGCTCTACAATTTCTCTTTGTTGTATCGTTAGTTAAGAAAAAAATGGTTATTGGCACATTGTCAATGTCCACAGTCTGGCACTGCTAAACCCTCCATGTCCCCCCCCCTTAACAGCAAGTTGCTAGCAGTCCCATTTACACAGAACTGACCTTTATCTCATCTCATCAAGAAATATGAGGGGGGGGGGGCATTTTTTTTTCTTGTCTCCTTTCTACTGTTGGAATGCTTTGATTGTTGATTAATTGCATCCATGAAGTGAACTGTGTGTTCATCCTTAGCCATAATGAATACAACAAACAGATAAATACTTCAGACCATGTTTGCATAATTATTTTGAGCTGTTGGCTTCAATCATGGCCGTGATCAGCCAAGAAGATAAACTCTAGGGAGCCAGAGTGAGGGGCAGTAAAGCGCAGCCTCCCCTCCAAAAGGGGCATTGTCTGGTCGTCCCAGGAGCAGCCTGGGCCATGATTGGTCCTAAAGGTGATACTGAGGCCTGAAGGAGAAGCTTTGTTTGTAGATACTGTGAGCGCAGGTTAATAATAGCTGAGGTGGGAAGGTGCTTAACAGGAAAGACACAAAACCACCTGTGTGAATGATGCTGATAAATTGATTTTGTGGGGTGAGGTGACATTGCCTAGATATGTAAATGATCAGATATTACCATAAAAAAGTTAATATTTCTGAAAATAATTTGCCATATAGATAATGCTTCTAATATGCATTGACAAAAGGTATAACAGCTTGTTTAAAGTTGAAGACATCTTTAGGTTCTAATTTGAAAACGTGGTATATAGCAGTTTTTCAGGGTAAGCGTTGTTAAAATTATATTGATTATAGCCTTTGGGCAAATTAGGCCGTTTATGTGAAATTAAGGCGTTTACCGCACCCCACTCCCTTGCCTTTACCACGAGTCTAAATCTTGAAATTTTCTTTATGTAAAAATATATTCACATTGGGCATATTTTTTTTCAACTCCTGTTATGCATTGGCAACAAAATACTGAATACATTCTCATTGCTCATTTATTTTAATCTTAAATATCAGAAATGTCTTATAGCCTAAATGGCAACATCAAAGAAAAATGTATACCTGAATACACTGACCTGTGATTTGTCAATTCAAAGACTCTACTACTTTATGGCTTACTTGTATCAGTATATTTCACTGTTTTAATAAACCCTGTCAAGAGAAGAACAATAAGGCAACAAATCGGAGTCACTGTGCCTTCGGTCAGGCAGCATGTCAAGCTTGAGTCATCAGTACAGGCTACACAGCACAGCAAACACCCTGTGGGCTGTGGCTATGCTGCTGCATTATCACAAGAACAACCCTCGATCATTCATGATGGCCTGTTTCCTATTTCATACTGTACATATACTACATCAATCTATCGGAGGAAGATTCATCTCAATCAACCCCAGCTTCTTAGACTTATGGAAAAAGTGACCCATTTACAGGTAAAAACACAGATATATGGTTTACTGATTCTTCTGTACATATGTACTGCAGTGCTAATAATTATTGTAGATTTTTTTGGCTTTCATGGGGGAGGATTATTTAGCAAAGGTAATTATACAATCACTGTGAGCTTTATGAAATTAAGGAAAAGACTGTCATCAGTAAAATACAGTTTCAGCCTTCATGTCACTAGCTTTTGTTGAACTTGTTGTAAGACTGTTGCTGAATGTCAATATATTTTCACTTGCCAAATATATTCCTTAATTGATCAAATGAAGATGTACATCACTGAAAACAAAAACATAAAAACATTTCTAACTGCTCAAAACCCTTTCAAAAACAAATACTGTCTTTGAGGTGTTTGTCGCTCCATTGTGAATCAGACAGAAATGTAATATGCTTGTTCCAAAACATGAGCTTGAATGAACACTGTTTGTGCTTAATAGCCTTTTTGTTAATATAATGAACAAACATCACGCCACATATTTTTACAGTAAATGAGGAAATCAGGTAAGGTAGTTTTTTTGTTTTGGTAGGATAAAAGTTGATCCCAGAAAATTTAGATAAGTCAAAAAAATTTACAAAAGAAAAAAACCTTTAAATGAGCAAAATAAATAGATTACAAAATACAACACATAACAGTTTCTTAAAAAAAGATTACAGACGCACAACTGCATATAACAAGACAAAAACTAAAACTTCATCTTTGCATAATTTTGAAGCTGGATCACAAAGTTATTTGAAAAATCTGTGGACAGATAATCACAAGCAGCAATCATAAGGTCGCAACTTAGTCAGCCAGGTCTGGGTGCTAGCAGAAGACAAACAGATACTAGTAAAAAAAAAAAAAAAAACTATACTGCCTTAGTAAATGTTAGAGATGACACAAGGGCTATGCGGGTTTGTACCAATTAAAGTCCTTTCCTTGTACTATACACACTAAATACAGTTAAGTCACAAACCATAGCTATCAATAATCAGTGAAATTTAAATGTATCATCATTCAAACCTCAAGGTAGATTTTGGCCTAGCATTGAATTAGCATTAATAATAATTATGTTGCGCAGGCATGCTTCTTCAATTAACTGGGATGACAACAAAGGTATATTTGATATCATCAGATTTGATATCTTTCCATTACCCTGTTGTGTAGAAAAAGGCTTGTCGTTGACGCCTAAAGTGCCTGTTGTTCCACAATCGTGCCACTAGGTAGAGACAGCAGTCCAAGTAAAAAAAATTGTTAAAGGGACATTTTAGCAAATGACAATGTGCCATTTTACACCAAAGACAGAATCTGCTTAGTGAAGTTCACATCATAGCGGAGCCATGACAACATCCATCATACTCGACCTGGGGATACTATACAACCTTCAGGAAAGTTCTGTGAAATATGGCATCAATAAGGCAAGCAGAGCTTCCTTGTGAGCTGGGCCCTAAGAGTGCATATTTATAATTTTGCTGAAAAGAACCCAAACAGACAGCTGAACAACAGTTCTTCTGGGAAATCTCTGAGTTTGTTATGGCCTTTACCACGGGATAAAACAGTTGGTAGGGGAAGGGACCTTTATTCAGAACACATTTTCAGAGCTGAGGATTTTATTTCTAATTAATTTACATTCAGATGCTCTGCAAAGCGAAGAATGTTACCCAACCCTATGGTTCTGGGCAGACCAGATGTGGCACTTAAAGCAGTAAACACGATTTGGCTGAACTCTCCATTAAAGTTGTAAACAACTAATTTGTTCACAAAAAAAAATGTATTCCAGTATAATGGCCAGTTTTGGACATTTGTTTTAGACAATAATACACTGAGGGGAAGATTGTGTTGAATAAACAGAATTTAGATTTTTATCCCAAAGGCAAAGCAATTAAATTTATATCCATTTATAGCACAGATTTTGTACACTCAGCTAAATGCTGAGGTTAATTATAAAATGCTTAATGTAAATTTAACTTGTATTTCCCCATGGTGCCTTACAGCTGTTCCAAGCAGCAGTGGCACATCTCATACATCTAGTACAGTAAAGTTCCCTTTTCTGCAACAAAAGCCCTCATGTGCCTTCAGTAATTACTCCTGGCTGCTTCTCACTCCCCCTGCTATAAACACTCAGTGTACATTTGTCGTTTCAGTATAATTTGAGAGGACTAGCTGTTGAAAAAAATACAAGACTCTTGGCTTTTTTAGTTTTTTTTGATTGCAGTCACAAATTTTTATAAAATTGAGTTTCCCCACAACGCAAAATAGCAGGTTTTTATCACATTGTGGGATCCCCACAATGTGATACACGATACACACACTCAGTACCATTCCAAAGTCTGGACACACCTCCCAATAGAAAAGTTTATTGTACTGTTCTCTACAGTTTATATATTATATTTACATTTACACCCAGTGACTAGCTGACCCTACTTCCTCCTCTAAGCCAGTTCCATGAGGTGGCCTCCTGGGATGCTTTTCCAGCTGTCCTGAAGGAGGTCCACATATATACTGAGCACTCATTGGCTGCTTTCCCTTCACTCTCAGGTCTAACTCCTCCAATTCCATTTCTACTCTCTATAGGTCATGTGGCCTGGTCACACTTCTTTGTAGGTGACTTTTGTAGGTGTCCAGACTTTTGACTGGCACTACATTATATATATATATATATATATATATATATAGAGAGAGAGAGAGAGAGAGTACGTGTTTGTGTGTGTGTGAGTGACCTAAACCGTAAGACAGCTATAAGGTGCCTGTTATAAACTTTGGTATAGTTTTACAGTTCTGTGTCGTGCGCATGACCACAAACAAGCGGTACCTCTTTCAAAGCAAACAGGGATTTGTGTGTTACAAAGACCTATGTAAATCTAGCATGGATTGGTTGGTTCATAAGTGCTGGCTTCAGATATTTTGGCCACCCACAAATAGTCCCGTTGGTTGTTTATACAGAGTGGCTTTCTTGTGGTGAAATATATAACAGTAATTTAAGATCAGAGTTCTCAGCTACAGCAGCCTGCTAATCCAAGGAGCTCCTGGTGCTCCGATTCTGGCTTTAACCACAGTGCGCAATCATTCTCTCTATAAATGGCTTGTCAGTGTCAATACAAATGATTTACTGTAAATAAACTAGCTGTCCGAAGAGAGTGAACTGTGGTTCAGAAAGTAGGGTTTTTTTTTTCTTTTTCTTTTTTTTTTTAGTCTTGCTACACATCTTACCAGATGAATCACTCCGGTAAAAAACAAAAAACAAAAACAATTGCAGTGACAACATTCACTCATGGGAGAAGTTGTTAGCAAATATTTTTTAAGCAGTTTAACGACGACACCACCAATGCTACCAATTTGCAGCTACGTAACACAACAAAGGACAGAAAATGTAAGGAAAAAATCCTCTAATAAAGTGCAACTGAAGCATATTGACCTTTCAAATCGGGAAAGATTGTCAAGTGAAATCGTGTGACAGGGCGTTCACCTCCATCCTGCCTCTGCGTCTCATCTGCAGTCTACAGCAGGACGCCTTGTGTCTGGCAGTCTGCTTCAGTCATTGATGTCATCATGGATTGTGATGACGTCACAGTGGGGAGGCTAATAGGAGCGATGGCTACATTCAAGGTTACCCCTCTCCAGACGTAGGTGTCGGTCTTCCAGGAGCCTTCAGGAGGGTGTGGGGGGCCTGAGACTCTTGCATTTCATTTCGTCCAGGCTTCTCCAATATTTGTAGTTCTCCGACAGGTGCTCCATCAGGCCAGGCAGGTTGGCAAATGCTGCAGAAGGGATTAGGAAATGGAGATGGTGGTGAATGTGCGTTTGTGCAGTAATTACTAGCATTAATAGACTCCTTCAGGCTCCCAAAGGGTCGAGTACATCAATTACCAAGGTAGCAGAGAGCAATGAGTGTTCCTGGAACAACTTTGCATGGAACAGCACATAAAAATGATTTTTTTTCTGAAAAACTAAGATTCAGTACGATTGGCATTTTTTAGAGAAGAACATGTTTAGGGGAAAGTTTTACTTAATGAGTTATTTGATGTCATGTTTGTACAGGACAATAATTAAATAGAGACATGGAGCCAAGGCATGTGTTGTTTACTGACTTTACAGACACTTCTCCTACCAAGAAACACATACCACGCTCTGCATGTGCAATAATACTAGATGCTTTGCATCTAATACAGCAGTATCACTACAGTACACTCTCTAATTCTCAGAACAGACGCATTTAATGAAAATAATAAAGAATAATAAAAACTTATATCCAATGTTGAAATGTAAGTGTATTGCCAGACGCAATTATAGACCAAAGAATTTCCCAGATTCAGTTTTTTAAGATGTTCAGCTGCTACGTATGTGAAATCTCACACTCACTAACTGTTTATGACTTCAGGTCTCTAAGTATCAGGCAGAGGGTTTTTCCACTGTAAATCGTCGCAGACCACCAGGCCAACCAGCCAATCAGTTGAGGATAAACATCTGTCATCTAAAAAAATTGCATAGGCATTCTTCTCTGTGTGCTCTTTTGGTGCATCAAAGCAGTCCGCTTTTCACTGACCCACCCAGTGTGTCCTGTATCAGATCAACCCTGCCGTCACCCCTGCAATGAGATGCCTTTGTTGTGAAGCTCTTCTTAAAAGTGGTCTGACCCTAACCACAGAAATCTCACTTTATTGCTTTCATCCCTCCATCCGTTTAAAATAATAATAATAAAAAAAATCTTTCCATGACATCACTGTACTGTTGACTGTAAACATGCTTACCCCCCAGAATCAATCATAACTGTATCGCCAGTTTTGGTTCATAGCATATAAAATCAAATTTTCTATTCAAGAACATCTATCTGATATAGCATTGTACCTTGTTTTATAATATTGTTGTAAAGAATATTCTTAGAAATGATGTTCAACGTTAAACATCAGCTGTACTATGCAAATGTGATGTGATGTTTTTCTTCTTCTTTCTTCTTCTTCTTCTTCTTATTATTATTTTATATTAGTTATTTTTATTCTTTACCACTGTTTTACACATTGTCACAGTTTTACCTTCAAATATATAATTTTGACTTCTGTCAGATCATTGTTATTATTGTACAACAGCAAAGAGCAACCTACTAATATCCAGATATCAGATTTTGATCTTACACCAAACTGCTTGGTTTTCAATAGACAAATAGCCCAGAATTGTGCAGGTAAGCCAGCAGCACAGGAGCATTATACAAAGCCTTTAAACAAAGCACTACATAACCACTGTGTGTTATAAGTGTATTGCCAAAACACTGCCCAGTCCCCAGTCATGTGACATCCACTGTCACTGTGAGAACTGCAAAAGTGAATCAGCAGCCCCACTTTCCAGTGTTTATAAACATTGGCCATGTGCCCTAGATACAGAACAGGTTTGCAAAAAACAAGAAAATCCATGGATAGCAGTGGATCCTCAAGTGTGTGATTCATGTTGTTTTCTTACTTCACTTTAAGTACAAAACAGTTCCAGGTCCAAAGTGTATGAACAGCAGAGAAACAGCATCAGATGGTCAAATCTCAACCACCACTGATACGTAGGGCTGCACATTTGGCTAAGTGCACATTAAAATTAAATCTACATTCACCCAGAGGGAAGGATGGCACCTAAAGTAGGAGGACCCCGGGTAACCTAATTCGCTACCCAAAGAACACTGACTGCTGCCAAAACGTGCCAAAGGACACTGACCCCTCTGTATACATATGAAGGTGGACAATCTGTTATTTGGGCTTTCGGAAGGAAAATGCTTCTTTTATATAAACTAATGCAAGAGGCTGTGTGTAAAACTCTAGAGTTGTTAGTGGTTAGAGAAGTGGTACCCGGTCAGAGTGCTAAGGATCATCGTGCTGCATATTTAGGGAAGCTGGGGTCACACCTGAAATAACTAACAAGCTGACCTGCTACTTTTATTACAGCTAAGCGCAGAGTTAAATGTAAACCTGCATATTCTAAAGCCCACAAAGACATATTAGTGGGTCGGATAATAAGTCATAATCATCATGTGCTAGTGAACTGAACAGGTTTTATAAGATAAAAGACAAAAAGGTGTACATAGTAGTACCGGTATATGACATGATCTTAGACAGCTATGTGAATAACGCGTCCTGGCCTGCTGGCTTAGCATACTTTGCATTTGGATTATCTTCTGAGCTCTCATTCATAAATATGCACCAAAATCTCCATTTTCATTATTACATAAAAAACAGAAGTAACCATTCGTATAACATTATCAGTCAGACTGGAGAACAACAGATGCGATTACCATCCCAAGCATCAAACATGTCGGTGATGAAGTAGTCGATGAAGGAGATTTGTGACTTGGGGACGCTGCAGGTGTTCCGATCAAAGATGGGCATCACCACGGGGAGCCCCTGTCTCTTCTCTTCGTCTGTCTACAACACACAGGCCACCACTAGGGCATTAATCTCCAGGAAACTGCTGTGTGAAAAGAAGCTGAGCCTTTGGGCCAAGCGGAAAGGGGCATGTTAGACCGCGAAGTAAAACCTGCAGCATGAAATAACTTCTTTCATCCAATGTCTTGTCTGCAAGTTGTAAGGTCAGGTAAGGTAAGGGGCCATTCCTAGTCTTTGCAAATGACATACAAAAATAACTAAAATGCACATAATATATATTATCATCGTTATTAATATTAAATAAAATGATTATCCATCTGGCCATCCACCCATCCATCTTTCAATCTCTTTTTCACTAAATGGTCACCTGAATACTGGAGCATATTGCAGGAAGGACAAGGCAAGCTTCTAACAATTAACCAGTCCACTGGTTATGAACGAGATCTGTTCCCTAAGTCTGTCTTTAAGTCGATGTAAATGTAAATGTAGACCTGTCGGAACAATAGCACAGTATGTGATTATTATTATTATCATATGGTAATAGTGGTGGCTTAATGGTTAGGGACGCACACTTGTAATCGAAAGATTGCAGATTCGAATCCCTGACCGGTAAGGCACCACTGAGGTACCCTGAGCAAGGTACTGCTCCCCGTGCGCTGAATTAGCTGCCCCCTGCTATGTCACATTGTCACATATTGGTTAAATGCAGAGGACACATTTCGTTATTGTGTGCTGTGGTGTCAACAATGTTGATCACTAAATTCTCATTAAAGTAGCTACATACAGTACTGTACTGCATGGTACATGTGTTTATTAATATCAGCCATTGTATTTAACTCAAATTTTTAATAAAATAGGCTTTATGGCAGTCTGTTAAGTATGAGTTGTCCATAAGAGGACCTACTTAAACTGGGGACGGCCTGTAATTAAAATGAATAAATGCTTTAATAATGCAATGTTTTGTCCATTAAAATACGCAGGAAAAGTCACACTACAGCAAGAACTCGCAGGTAATATTACGAGGCGAACCATCTCTGTCACATTCACCGCACCTGGGCAAAGTACTCCTCAGAGATTCGGCCAGCCCACTCGATGCACAGCTCCAGGGGGCGGCATGGATTGGCCACGTCGGCACACTTGATCATCATACGCTTAATCAACAGCCGGTTCTCTGGGGAGTTCCGGATGCTGGCCGGACACTCGAAGTCGCTGCCCTCGCTCTGCAACACATGTGAGCCCAGGGGTGATTACACGTTCTAATGCATCACACAGGCAGCTTGCATTAAGCCCAAAAGTTTACAGGGAACCTCTGTTACAAAAAATATCACAGCTAATCAATACCCTCCCTTATATGCACAAAATCAAGACACATACGAACCCATGCAGACAAACACAATCAGTATGCTTTAAATAGTTACTTTTTAAAAATGTGAAATCTGCGCGAGTAAAAACTGACTTTCCGCGGAGTGTTTACTTTTGCCAGTCCACTGACCCACACAGTTTATTGCTAACATATACACAAAACAATTTGGGGAATCAGATGTAGTGGGAGAAGGAAGCAGAAGCTTACATTACTGCTGGATTCCTCGATTGCTGCCATGGGCTTGTTGATGCTGTTGACGAACTTGTTGACGTGTTCGAAATGACGCGTCATCTCTGTAGCCAGCACCATGTCGATGGCGGCCTGTCGCAGCGTCCGGAATTGCGTCCTGCAGCCACAGGGGAGGAAGCCAGACCCTTCGCCATCACAGCTTCAGAAATACTGAAGCATTATGATAGGAGGCACAAAGGTCAAAGAATCGAAAAAGAGAGCAATTAAGCTGCCGCTTTTTAATGCCCATAACCTTAACTATAACCATTTTCACAGAGCCAAATTAATTCTGATATTTAGCCATTTCTAGCTAAATGAAAACACCCATCATGGAATTCATAATGTCTTTGCAAAATCATATTCACTTAAAGGCTTTTTAGTAAGCCAGTTAAACTCCTTGCTATTGCAGAATATATCTCTTTATAAATATGCCTTTAAATTGCATTCATATAAGTGGTCGGATCAAAGGGCTGAGACTGGGCTTGGTTCCAACTCTAAGATGTAGGGTGGGCCACAGAATTCTCTGAAGCGGCCGGGGGGGCAGGGGGGCTTCTGTCTTAGCAAAAATGCGTTAAAGTTCAGAAACCTCTCAGTGTTCTTGAAGATGTTGCACTTGTTGTCAGACAGAGTTAGTTGGAAGGCCAGGGCTGCGTGATGGCTCTCCAGCACGGCCGTGTCGTTGTACAGGATGGCCAGCTCGCTGCCTGCGTTACACAGGAAGGAGTTGGTGCGGCCTGGGTGGTCCACATCGTGGACCGCGGCAGCGATCAGAGCCGCTACCACGTCTAGCTGGTCTAGACTGCCCTGGGAGACAAGGATAGCCAAGCGTTTCACTCCTGTGCAGCTGAATATGTATTAACAAATCTAGCTCATGATTGATCAAATAATTACATAAATATTACTATATTTTCAGAGGACTGAAAAAAGCAATATTACAATTAATTGTATTTATTGAAATTAATCAGTTTAAAATTGAGAAATTCATGAAATTCAATTACCTAGATAGAATAATAATCATGTCAAGCACTAAATACAAGGAGAAAATTATTAGCCAGCTATAAATGCTTTTGTTGCAATAAAAAGGCACAATCACACAAAGTTTTCTTGTTCCTTTTCTTAAATTATGGTGATATTTTATCCACTCAGATGAAAGTTAGTTTATATTTACAAATGTTATCTATTCAGGAGTATCGACCAACTTAAAAAAACTGAATCTAAACAGTTTTCTTCCCAGCATTGTAATATAACAAAGCCTGTAATATTCTATTATGCACTAGGCTCATGAAAGGCAATATTACCACACTCTAAATGTATCTGTACTACTAGACAGTCCAGTATGGTATCTAAAAATACACTTAAATGGTCAGATAAAAAGGGAAAAAAACTGGATGGATTTTTGTTTTTCTGCTTTTTTTTGGTGGTTTGTTTAATGTGAGATATGGCAGCCGAAACAGCATAGCCACAGAAGTGCAGTGGGAACGAGTACCTTGACCCTGTCCTTGCGCAGGAAGTAGGCCGTAGCGTGCAGCACATCAGCTGCGTGAGTGGAGTTGTGGTAAGAGTTGGAAGCGTGGTAGTTGGCCTCAATGACCTGCAGCCAGGACCGCAGTGTTGCCTCTGTGCAGCTCAGAAACTCGCACACCCCGAAACGAGCAAAGATTTTCAAACCGAGGTAGGTTAATGGTCTGGAAAAAAGTTATAGCGTAAGTATGTCCACCACAGTTAGAAGTATTCCAAGAAGTCTGATGCATCTGAAATATATAGCAAATTCTACATTGCCCTTAAAGCCTAAAATATCATGACGCATACATTTTGCAACTTTAAATGTTTTGCAGCTTTCGAGTCTTCCTGTCTGTCTGGAAAGCCTGCTCTCCAATCACTTGGCCTGTAAGCAACACACTTTCTGTCTCTCCCATGATTACAGTGCATAAAATAGCCTAACAGTGCTAATGAAGGACACTTGTTTTCATACAACAGGCCTGCCTCCCCCTTCCTGGCCATTCACCTCTTGTGTGTTGCAGCCTCCAGCTCCAAGATGTTGAACTCCCAACGATCCTCGTCATGGAGTATTTTGGCAATGGACGGGGGTATGTCACTAAGGGTGACGGGCATGCCCAGCTGACTCTGGCTTATGTCTGCAATGGGAAACACAGATCTAAGAGTCTGCAGAAGAGAGTGTGAGGATCAGATGCCAAACTCTCCTGCACAACGTCGCAGCTAAGTATGGATTTCAGGAACGATTTAAAGTATTTTCCTTTCTGAGATAATGGAACACTACATCGTCTGGGGAATAATTAAGTTTTTGAAACCAATCTGCTCCTTCAGTGAGCAAGATGTCAGTAACAGCTTGTTCAGTACTGAAGGAAAGATTATTACTGGCCTCTGAGACGCTGATATTACATAAAAACACATCCGAAATTAATGACATCTGGATCATTTCCAGGCGCATTACGCTTTATTAAACCTGTACTCCATTCACAGGACAATCAGACATGAATATATAATGTCTCAGTATCTTTAAACATTAACCAACAGATTAATGTCTGTATTTACTTTTAAACTTACTTTTTGAAAATACATAGTCATTCCCAGACAATCTTCGCAAACCATCCTATAAGATAAAACATAAATGTCCTTCACTATAAATACATACACAGGCGATGTCCTTGGGCTGTATAGCACATTACATTACATTACATAACCTACTATTTGTATGTTACAGACTACAAATAAACATGCAGAGATTATCAAAATAATTATACAAGTTATTACAAAAATACTGAAGGCTAATGCAAACTGAATGCATGGGTAATGTGTCATGCTTCTGTTTTTAGCCGCCTATTTTCGGCTAATTCCACTCACACTCATAAGACCCCCCACTAGGTCGTTGGTGTGGGGGTCATCCTCTTTGGAGGCCAGCTGTGGTGAATAAAGCTCAGTGGTCCTGAGTATCTCTAGAACCCGGTCCAGGGCCTCGGCAACAGTCACGGGGCTGTTCTCCTGGGCTGCGTTGATGATGTTGATCACCTGCCCAGTGGACGTAAGCACAGAGCTGGCACTCAGATGGAGCTGTCAGGCCTCACGGTTTGTCGCCATAAGCAGTAAGATGATGTCAATGCAGGTGGGAGGCGGGATTCTCAGTTTTTGGAGGCCTTTGCAATGGATGGCAGTTTAACCCTCTGGGGACGAGTGCATTGTCGGTGACGCAGCGTACTTTTCGCGTCTGTTTCAGTTTATATCTTACTTAAATCTTTATGTAGAACCATGAAAAAAACGCTGACTAAATCCGTAATCTGTCTTCTTTTCAAAACGTCCATTGTCGGAAGCATTAAAGTTTTTAAAATTAGGTTAAATAGGTAAAAAAGTAAACCATGTCACCTTACTTTGTTTTACCTGCATCGGGGGCGTGTAGTACCGCTCTCACCCGAAGATCGCTATTCACATTCTAAATAGCCGCATTAGCGCGTATTCAAAACGCATTCGCATGGGAATTTGATGAGCAGCGAAACGGTGAAACGCGATCCTCATCAGCGCCATAAAAGGGGGGGGGGGCATGTGGCCAGGTGTGAATGGCTCATGCATACACGAGAGCTCCTACATATTCAATGGAAGGAGACCAGAAATAGTGACATGAGTTAGCTTTTTCTTATTTATTTATCTACTTTTTATTTAACTACACCATTTAGTCATCTTCCTGTACGTAAGACTTTGGTTATCAGGGATATCTGGGATCAAAACAAACTGGTACCATTGCTTACTATGTACTTAAACTGCATTTTGCAATGTCTACACTTTGACGTCAGATTACAAACTTAACATAAATCTGACATATTTACAATATACATTAAAATTAAGATGAGTGTAATGCCAAAACAAATATATAAGAAATAATTTATTTGCCATGAATTAAGTTTATGATATTGAATGAAATGTGTGATCATGCCCCAGTCAATGAAAGTGTGTTCCCTACCCAAAGACCACAGAAAAAGTTGGGATTCCTTATCACTGGGAAAAAAACAGAGCTATAGGAAGTGAACAAAATAAAGAAACCACCTGTAAAAGGACTTTGAAACTTTAAAGTAACCAAGTCATAATTACAAATGAAGCTACAGTACAAAGGTGAGTCTGCCAATCAGCTGCATGTGTCAGCTTTAAAAGAGGCCTGACAGTCTGCAGTGTAACTGTAAAAGAGGCCTGACAGTCTGCAGTGTAATATGCAACTTTTCACAGCAGCAGGAGGCAACAGAGTTCCAAGAAGTACAAAGTCAGTGCGGGGACTGCAGGTGCTGGGACTGCAGACACAAAAGTTCTGTAATTAATGTGTCAAGATCAAGAGTCTCAAAAATCATGATGGGTTTTGCTGAACAAAGACCAGCTGCAGAGGAACAGTGGCTACAAGTTGAGGCTCGTTGACAGGGACAGACAGAGCCAACGCACAGTGATGCATGACCAGGCGTAAGGAACACGCTATGGATATGGTCCTACATCCATAAAGATTTACATTACACCTCACGTGCTCCTGCCAAGGAGCAATGAAACCATCTTCTAAGACCAGGTGTACCATGGTGCTGATACCTCATGACATTTCCAAATTCCAAAATGATAATACCCTTACATAAACTGCTTTAAACATCTGATTTTAGCACCACTGAGTCTGTACAGCGAGTTCTGGAACACAAAATGTGAAGAATGGTCCAGTTCTGGACATGTATGATACCATTTCAAGGAGGGATTAAGCTGTTCTGAAGGCAACGGGTCATGCTACTCCTTATCAGATCTCTGTTATTAATACATTGTAATATATCCAGCCCCTGAATATTAGTATTTTCAGGTTTTATGAACGGGTTTACCTTTGTGATTGGAGCCTCAATAGTCATGGAATGAATTCTGGCCATGGATGAGTATCTGCGGTTCTGCAAACTCGGGGCTGGGAATTAAAAGGTAAAAATACAAAGAACATTAGAAAACATTAGAACCCTGGAGGTGTGAGGAAGCATTGCTGCTCCCCCATTGCAGACACAGCAGGAATGAAACTAGGCTATGATTCCACATTCATCTTCCAGCCGTTTATCATTGTCAGGGTCAAGGGAGCCTGTCCCAGGCAGGAGAGGGCATAAGGCTGGGGTACACCCTGATAGGGATGCCAGTCCATCATAGGGCATAAGGCAGGGGTACACCCTGATAGGGATGCCAGTCCACCACAGGGCAGGGGCTGGGGTACACGCTGGATGGAATGCCATTACATTGCAAAGTACATACACACACTTTTGGCATAGCAGAAACTTGCGGCAGGAGAAATGATTACCCACACCAGGGTAGAGTGCTACCCACTGAGTCATCAAACCAATGATGCTTTTATCCAAAGCAATGTTCATTTTTTTTCTTTTTTGGAGAAAGCATCTTCAGACAACGCCTGGAGCAACTAGGGGTTAAGGGCCTAATGGTAAAATCACTCTTGCAATCCCGGGATTTAAACATCAGACAATACATTCTTAATGTAATTAATGTAGAGTAAGTAATATTTGAAGAGGCAAGAACCTACAGTAGATGCTTGCATCAAAGATCCTGAAAAACAAGACCTGAATGATCTGGCTGCAATGTTCTCCTCACATAAAGTGGAGGATGACTGCAGCCAATGAAAGGAGCTTCTCAGCCCTGATCCTGTAAATAGCACCAGGTGGTGCGTCAGTGGGGTGGGGGGGAACTTATCTGACTGAATTACAGCAGCAGTGTGTCTGACTCACACCCTCAGAATGACTCCATCACTGTATGACCCCCCCCCCCATCCCATCCCGTCGTGCCAGGACAGCCGTACCGTCGCTACTCCGTGAGCTGATGGATCTGACGTCAACAGACTCTTTCCTACGGTCCTTGTGACGTGATGAATGGGATTCTGGGAAAATAAACACGACATTGGGTCATAAGACTTTTCTGCAGGAACAATGACGACAAAACAGTGATCACTTGGCTAAACTTGGTTCTGACTTCTATTTCATATAATTTAACACACAAACAGCCACACAAACAAATAAATAAGTCTGTACCTGATTGAGAATTATCACCACTGTGTTTTTCATCTCGATTTAACTTATGTACCTACCAAGACAGAGACACTATTATTGCAAATAATAAATTATAACATATACAGACGCTCCTCTACTTCGAATGAGATACGTTCCGAACAGCCGTAAAGTCGTTATTCAACATCATTTCAAGGATATACGCAAGTACGAAGAACTAGGATGCTGGGAGTACGCATTGTTCGTATTGTGCTGTGTGGGGGGGGGGCAGCGGCCAGAAGTCGTACTAGGCGGAATTGGTGCCCAATGAACACAATTTGGACTTACAGACCTCTTCGTTTGTATGTCTGAAAGGTTGCAAGTTGAAAGTTCGTAAGTAGAGGAGCGTCTGTAGTATCATAATAACAATGAATTCAGTGTGAAAGGCCACCAGGAAAAAAATTATTTCAAATTACCAGGCAAATTTCATATTTCCGTAGCAAGCACTTTTGGAGCAGAGCAAACACACCTCAAAAAACAGAACAAGACTAAGCTTAGTGAAACAGATCAGCTTTTGGCATTCTGTGCTGGCAGAATATTTTACTTATTTGTTTATATTTAGTAATGAATCAAATCAGATGTTTAGAGGTCTATCCAAAAACTATGGCTGTAACGGGCGAGTATAGCATCATTATGTGGAAGCTCTTCTCTTTCTTGGTTGAGAGGTTCATGAGTTGAAAAAATGAAATACGACCCCCTCACAATTATGGAATCACTGACTAAATATGTCTTTAAAGAGACATATTTAGAGAGCCTTGGCATCACGCCATCCCGTCACCAAATCGAGTAGCATCTATACCAGGAATGGGAAACCGTTTCCTATTAAAGGCCATTTAAATTTTATTAAATTCTTCGAGGTTAGGGAAGCGCACTTATAATTGAAAGATTGCAGGTTCGAATCCCTGACCAGCAAGGAGTACGATGTCACATATGGGTTAAATGCAGAGGACACATTTCGTTGTTGTGCACTGTGTGCTGTGGTGTGTCAACAATGACCACTGATCACTTAATTCTAAATTCTAATTCTGAATTCTACTGAACTGGAAAAAATTAAGAGACCACAGCACAATTTTCAGTTTCACTTATTTCTCAATATGGATATGCACCTGTGGAAAATTTACATTTTTTTGTAAACTCCTGCCTGGCTCTTCCCTGCTTCTCATTAATGAAGGGCTTCTTCCTTGCTTTATGGGTCTTCAGTCCTGCTTCTAGGAGTCTGATATGAATTGTCCTAGCTGTGCACTTCATACCACTTAATGTTGCCCATTCTTATTGAAGGTCACTTGAGGTCATCCTCCAATTTATGAGGCACTGTTGATGGTTATAGAAAATTGCTTCTACCCTTAACCTGGCTGGTCTTTGGTCACTGACAGTGTCTCCTGCTTCACCTTTAAAACCTTTAAAAACTTTGAGCCTGGTTGCAGCCTACCACGCAGTGTAACTTCTTTAATTTTTTTCCAGAGCTGTATATCCTTGCACAATATTATATTTTGTGATACTATATAAATTCATCGGAGACTGGGCAACTGAGATGGTCATCAGATCATAACATGAAAAGAATATTAGTTATATACCACTGAAATAGTGAAAGGAATTGGTGTACTGGTACGTTTTGGCTCTTTTCCTTTTAAATCTGGGCCAGATTGGGCTTTTTAATAGATACAGACACATTTTGTTGGCAAATCAGGTTTTCGTTACTGCTGTAAAAATGAGCACTTCAAAACAAAGCACTTTTTGACTAAGTAAGTAATTGAGTATCAAATGCATTCCACCATGAACCGGCGTGTTCAAGCGTGTTACTCTGCTAGAGAAAGCAAACACATCTAGGATCAAGATGCCAATAAGCCAATGAGAGATTTGCCCTATGCTGACATACAGTATTTCCCCTATTTGCCAGTCCTCTATTTACATTATATGATAACACTTGACTTAACGGGGCACAAATAATGTAGTATTATAATATTACTTATGTATTAATTAACCACAAACTAAGGCTTAGTTACATACCGATCTCATGTTATTCATCAATAATGAATCATGACAGGTTTTATCTTAAGCAGTTACTTTATCTAATTCTGCAAACCTTTGTGAACTACTGAAGGAACAAGTAATGAATAACTCAAGTAAAATACTGTCATGTTTGTTCATCATTAATGAATCGTGATGTATCTTAAGTAGCAACTATATTTGTTCATGATTTGTACTTCAGCAGTAACTGAGTTATTGCTAAGGATTTGTGCCCAGTCAAGTAAAGTGTTACCCATTTTATTTACTTAACAGGTATGCTTAGTCAATGTGAACTATGATTTTGAGAAAGCAGGGTTAGACAGTGCCTGAGGCAACTGGAAGTTAGGGGCCTTGCTTGAGGGTCCAACAGTGACACCATTCAGCCAGCTTTGGGATTTGAACTGGTGACCAACTGATCATAGGTGCAGCAGCCTAACCCACTAAGCCATATACTGCCCTCAGTTAGCTAACGTGCATTTTAGAAATGCGTGTAATTGCAGAACTTTCTTTTTCAGGCCCATTGTAGAAAACCATATTTATTTGATTGTGAAGTGAGGCCATGATTCTCTCAAGAAAGTGGCAACAAAAGTAAATGTCACCACATTCATCTTTCAGTCATCACGTTATTTCAACAATGACTCTATAACGTCAACAGCGCCATGTGGCAGCCAAAAAGCATTTTCGCCAAGCAGACGATGTGCCAGACAGAGGTCCAGCCATGATACACAAGATATTTTTGCCCTGGAAAAGATGGGCAGGACAGCTCCCTTTCCTGTAAGGCCTTCGCTGTCACATAAGTGTGAAAGTATCCCTCTGCATAGTTATCACAGATGAGACTTCAGAGGTGTGACATGCAAGGAAGTCCCGTTCCATATTTTGCCCCTGATTGCTTATGGGTTACAGGGTAACGAGGGCCAGGAGCCAATCCCTGGAAGAACAGGCAGGAGATAATTCCTACGGGCAGCCAGTCCACCTGTTAAGGCTGCTCTGAAAATCCTTTCGTTGTTAATTACAAACCCGCCATAGCCATCCATACTCCCCCGAAAACCAAACTCAACAAGAATCTCCTATTGCTGGGGCCACTCCTGCATGACTGACACCTGCCCCTCAAATCTCATCACTCTGTCTTGACAGAGAAGCCGCCAGCTGACAAATCCACCGCCATCACTAGAAGTATAACCGGAAGTGAAAGGTCTGCCTCTGCAGAGAGCTGCAGTGTGAGTGAAGAGAAGCTACTGGCAGACAGCTGAAGTAAAACATGATGTCAAAGCTCCAATGACAGCAGCATCCTCTCAGCATTTCAAGGTGGGAAGCAGGAAAGCGGAATCACATTGGCAAGTCTTCGAAACTACTACTCCTACACACACAGGTTTGTAATTATATCTTTGTGGGGACTCTCCATTAATTTCTATGGGGAAAACTCTAATCCCAACATGATGACCTTAATCCCTACCCGCCCTAACCTTACCTATCAATAACCAAACAAAATATGAGACTTTTGGCATTTTTCATTTTCTGACTGGATTAACATATCTTTGTGGGGACCTGAAAAAGCGTGAGTATCATGCCAGATGTGTGAGAGTTGGCAACCCCTCGTTTGATTAGTGTGGACCCCTGAGTATCATGTAAGTTGCTGGCTTCCCTGGCTGTGTAGTAGGCTACACCATCTACGCTTGTGCAAGTACACTCTATGATGTTCTCACAACGACAAAATCACCTAACGACACATTTCTCAGAACGTATCCCCATTTTATAAAGTGACGCATGATGGTATAGAGATTTAATTAATGCTCCCTGAGAGAAAACAGATCATTTCAGATGCTCATGCAAAGTGGACTAAAAATCAGTATCTCAGAATAGCGTAATTACACAAAGCACTTACATAATTCTGACAAAAAAGATAAAATGCTTATCTGACATTGATTTTTGTCTACTACAGATAATAAATCTTTTTCATCCTGGACAGGAAGGTCAAACCTGCACTGGCTCTGCAGCTGGTCACCTTGACGTTATTATAACTGCATTTAAAAATTGCTTGTACTAAAATATGAAGTAGCATCATAACTAACCTCCCCTCCCCTTCGCCCTCTGTATTTATTCATTTTCACCTTCGACAGAATTTTAAAAAACAGGCGCATATTAAGCACCAGCATGAATCAGAAAGCTAATGTACCATTTTGAGATTTTTAAAAAGGACAATGACGATAACTGGAGGAGTAACTGGCATCCATGTGCCAGTGAGACGGGAGCGGCATGTACTCGTGCAGGATAGCAGGGGCCAGGCGTGGCCATTCACCGCAGTGCAGCTCCACACTTGTACAAACAGCCCTACTTATTCTTTTTAGCAATGTACTGTATGCAGCATCAGTTGGGATCACGCTTAATTAAAAACACGACGGCCAGGGAGCTAATTGACGTGGCAGAACCACTTCAGCTCCATTCCCAAAAGTACGGCACCTGTTCTTCGAGAGATGCTTGTTTACATCTAACATGCTTAGAACAGCATAAATACTTCACTGTAAAAACTGTGAATGTGAAACTGTACACTGATTATTTTCACTATTATCTTGTGCAAGCACAAGTTGATTTTGTAATAATGCAAAGTAAAACCAAATGAATTTATCAATATACAAACTGACCAATGCACTTGGATATTGTTACTCGTGGGAGGTTGAGCACCCAGCTGACCTTTGACGCCCAGGTCTTCTCCTTCATAAGTCTATGGACTTTTGTTTCCGCTTTTCTACTCCTTTCTGCCTTTTTTCATTATTATTATAAATTTTCACTATTGTGATCCTTAACTTTTGCACATCAATTAGTACCGCTGTAATTTGACATTTTATGAAGTGCTTTAGGGCAACTATGTTCGGAAAGGTGCTATATTTAAAGGAACTAAATATAATGAGAAATAACGCCAGCTTATAATAAATGGTTCAAAGCCTCTGTTGGCAAGATTAACATTTTTTGTCCACACCAGTCTCTGAAAAAACATTACATACTAATTTAGCATTACGCACTGTGCACAATGAAATAAGATGGATCAGTTGACTGGCATGTAATCAAGGAAATTATTTGTTTATTGGTTAGTTTCCCTGCTGCCTATTTTTCCATCACGGGGGGGGGGGGGGGCGCTGGGGGTCAGAGATTCTTTCGGGCAATAGATACACATATTTCATTACACTTGTAATTATGTTTTTACATTTGGACAGGAATGCGAGCCAGATCCAAGGTATTTTAACAGGCTTTGCCTACAGCCGAGCTTTAAAGTTAAGAACAAACACCTGGCAAGTAGATTCATTACTCTATGCAGCAGTCATGCAGAGTTAGTGGACTTAATGATGCAAGTAAAGCATTGTACCGAAAGACGCAGTAATGCGTGTTTTTATAATGCATGTGTCCCAATAACACGTCCTGTTTCAAGCGCATCCAGGCTTCCTGGTGCTGGATCATCTGGATTTTGAGATCCTTGGCAACATATACATTGCATTAGAGGTGGACAAATAAAAAATGAAAAATAAAAAATCTCCTCACCTGAATTATATATGGCCTCACCTGTTTGTTGTTGTCAATATGAGGTCTGTTGATTGAAACAATATGTCGGATTTTTCTGAAAAGAACAAAACAGGAAACAACAATCACCACAATAAAGGCTGGTTAGAGATTTAAGTCTCATCATTGTGAAATTTAACTGAGAAGACATAAAATGCAAGACATGCAATGAGTCACAATAAAAAAATCTTTCTGTAAATTTCATCATAATTCATACTGATCAAAAACACAATACAAAGATAATAGACTTTTATAAGAAAAACATGGCTTACCCTCCCTGTCCAATAACAGGAGTGATTTTAACATGCTGTTGTATATTGTCTCCAGATTTCCTCCTGGCGTAGTAAATACCCTGCCATTCCTACACAGGAGGGAGACGCATACATTCAACAACACAAACATATTCACCGTTCTGTTTCTGAGGCCACTTCCAGCTGACTCTCATTCTACTTCCCACTGATTCCGAGTGGATGATTCCTGACTTAATTCCAGCAAAGTTCAGGAACAGAGTAAGTTTTCTCCATTTTTTTTCCTGGAGGTACTAGCTTTCAATGGTGAAGACCAAATAGCTAATGAACACGAAAAAGCAGATCTCAAGTCATAAATGAAACCAGGATACAAATAATAAGGTGCAAATGAAGAACATGCAACAAGCATCTCCACTGTTCATTCCTAGATGCTGACCTTTCCTTTCTTGATGCAGGTGTTGATGGTGTCCAGCAGGTCAATGCGGTTCTTGTCACTTTTTGGCAGCTCTGTGAGCTCTTTCCCGATCAGCTCCCCTTGCTGGTATCCCATCATCCGCTCGAACGCTGGGTTTACATACTGTCACAGATGAAATGCCCCCCGTGACAACATACTTATTAATCAGCCAGGCTCTCTTATTATGCATGTTCAGAGCCCTGAGACTTAAGCGGCTCTCCTGCCCCCATACCTGTATTACGTGGTCTTCACTGGTGATCTCCACTGCTTCCTGACAGTTTTCCAGAGCAGTGAAGAGTGAGTTACATGCCCTATGACAAGAAGTACAGTCAGACACATCCAACAAACTTCACAGAAAAGTAACCTTTGGCACACGATCCGCTAAATATCAGAAACAAAAGTAACAACTCAAGTTAAAATTTGTCATATTCTATATGTTTATGTTTTTAAACTACATTTTTAAGTAATCTTAAACTGAAGGCAATAAAGAGCCTTTAAATGTGATATCAGTTGCCAAAACTGAATCTCAAGGTTCAAGGTCACTTTATTGTCATCAGCAGCTTCAAACATGTACAAAGAGTGATGAAACAACGTTTCTCCATGGCCCCGGTGCAACATATAGTAACATATAGTACACTTAACATCACAATCTAAGAGGTGAAGTGCATTCAATACGGCATACTTATTAAATAGCGCAAAACAACCTGCACGGTACAGTACGTCTTATTCGGGACCAGGTCTCAGAGGTTTGTGCCTATATTCTGATGGTAGCGACCATGAGCTTGATTTACCTCAGCTTGAACCGTGAGCGCACCTCTCCACGCTCCATCTGGATAAGCTCGTTGTAGCAGGCCGAGACACTGCTGCTCTCGAGAAACCTCTGGAAGACAAAACAACAGGGAAAGGAGGAGACGGCCCGGAGTGATACCAGATGTGAGTTGATCTCTTGACACCAGATGACTGCGATCCTCACAGTATAATATGTATCAGTTCAAACAGTTTAAACCCAATACCAAAATCAAAACCCCAAAAAATCTGATAAAAAAAATTGTAAAAGCAAAAACATCTCAGTTTTTTGGCTTAAAGATTCTAAGTTACAGATAATGATTTATAATTTATTCCCATAACCCTGCACTCGATAAGTGGTTGAAAGATGCGTAGATGGTCTGGATTTATTCAATAACAGTGCTTTAAAAAGTTTTAATTTTTCTCTTAAACCTCAAACTACTGCATTGTGTCGAATTACTCTGGCTAAGAAATAGAAGCCAACAATAATAACAGTGAAGGGTAATGTATTTTATGCAACCGTTATATAACTACATAATGAGGAACTGGTTAGTTTTGATTAGCTAGGCTAACCTTAAACACATTGACCTATAAGCACTGAGGTTTCCTTGCCAGGTTAGTGCTGGTAGCGCTGTACCTAGCATAAAGATGGGCTTCACTGGAATGAAAAACAAAAGCAGCTCCCATAATCCCGAGCAGCACGTAGAACAGACCAAACTCTATATTCACTTCCTTGACTATGTTTGCTCTGTAAAATCCTTTCAGATCCCCCTGTGTTTGGGGAACCCAAAATGACCTCATCTTGGATTAATTGTGATATTTTTTTCTGGGTAAAAAAATCCAACTAAATGCTATTTTGGATCATTTATTTTATGATATTGACGTCTAAGTTAGACCTTCATCCATACCCATTTCCTTTGAGAGCTTTCATTCATGAAACTTTAGGACTTTATGTAAAACATTTACTGTATGATTAAGACGCGCACAAAGCCTGTATATGCCAATGCACTGATACACTAAATACTACTTTAATAAGGAAAAGTCTGTCATTGTAGCTCAAATGCAGAAAATCACTGCCATCCCCGTTGGTCACATTCATGTCAGGGCATTTCACAGTGTTGGAGGGATCATCCATTATGCACAGCGCGCTCAGCACAGGCCAAAGGGAGTGTGAGGGATAAGAGACACCTAAACTCACTCTGCTGAATCCTGCATTGAGCAGAGGAAGGACTGAAGGCTCCTCCTGATCCTGGGGTCTGATTCACACAAAAAAAAAAAACGTAGCACAAAAGTCACTAGAGTTCAATTCTGACCTGATCAGAATTATATCTGTTGATCAAAAAAATTAACTGAAAAATGTACACAACCGATAATCAAATATTAAAAAAAAAATTAGTCACATCACTCTGATATGTAAAATAAACCATAATACATTTAGTGTAATAGCTACCATGCCGAACATTGAGAAAGAGAAACCACTACATACAGTATTATTACAGAATAGCCGCTCCTTTCTTCTAGTGGTTTTACATGAAAGAGCTATTCATTTAACTTGAAAGAAAGCAAAGTTACGCTGCTAAGTCTCAGCACAAGCACCACTTACATTTGTGGCACAACAGCTAGAATGACAGTGTGTTCTGAGGGCCTGGTAGCACGTATTGACCTAAGGAAAAAAAACACATCACGTAGTGAAAGGAAACTAGATTCGGTGCTGTTGGAAACCACAGCATTGTATTCCCCAGACCGCCCTGCCATTTGGTCTGGCTATCTGAGCCACACTCGTCCCACACTCACAAACTTCCACTAATCTTGTTTCTAGAAGTACTGGATGTAAATGTATAAGTTAACAAATTTGGTTTTACCTGAATGCTAAGAGTCCTTATTGTGATACGTAGGTCTCAAGATGTACTTATTCACTTATTGCACATTCCACAATTTGCAGAATTAATCCCCACCAATTATGTGACTACTTGTATTCTTTTGTGTATGTGTATTTTAATGTAATAACAACTCTGAGCTATTAGTTAGTTTCTCCCCAAACAAGCTTGATGGGCCGAATGGCCTCCTCTCGTTTGTAAATTTCTTATGTCACCTGCAAACCGCTTCCGCCTCCAAGTGATGTGATCGCCTTGCGTCGATAATGATGATCTCATGCTGCTTGTCCAGAAAACATTGGACAGCAGATTCGGGGGTGCGGGCAATGTTGCACTTGAACCCGGCACGGTCGCACGCCCACCAGAAGGCATCACTCTGGCTGTCCTCCTTCGTGAAAACCAGCAGGACCTGGGGGGCAGGGTTGGCAGGGGTTAGAGGGCAGGTCAGTGGAACGGTCATTCAGCTGAGATCTTCTCACATCCACCATCACATTGAAAAACTTGCGTTTATTATAATACACAGTATGAGCGAATGGATGGTCTGTCATGACCTGCCTTGTGTTCTGTTCTATCAAGGCTAGTCTTCCGGTTTCAGCTAAATCCATATACTGCAGTCAAGAAAACTGGATGACGTATTGGTGAAAATATGTGTATGATAACATTATATGATAAAAACAATCATTATAATTGTATAATCATACAATGTTTGTTATTAATGTATATTAAAGCTGTTAAGATACATTAGGATATTAAGGTATACTTACATGCTGCTTATGGATGTTCTATGAATGCATAGTGAAGGTGCACTGAATGTTCTACAAAATGCATTATAAACGTGCACTGAATGTTCTACAAAATGCATTATGAAGGTACACTGAATGTTCTACAAAATGCATTATGAAGGTACACTGAATGTTCTACAAAATGCATTATGAATCCATTATGAAGGTGCAGTTAATGTAAAGCATTACTAAATCTTTGACGTACTGTATGCTGTAATACACAGTAGGAAGTACATGGCAATAACAGTATATTCCAGCAGGGTCACTTCTTTACTGACTGAAGGCCTAGCTCCCATTCAGTGAGTTGATAGATGCACGTAAAGTGAGGTAGCATATCTTTATTTCATTGTAACTCACAGCAGACCTGCGACTTTAATCATGTTTATGCAAAGCCAGCTGTTTACCAGCTGATCAAAAGCTTCATGTTTGCCTCGTGCTAACAGAACTTATGGGAATTCCTCTGTATAGATGACCGTGAAAAGTGAGAAGCTAATCAAATAGAGGGTGCATTTTCATCTCCGGGCTTCTGTCCAAAACTGCTCGAAATGAAAAGGGAAAAACAAAAAGCAGATGGGATACAGATTTGAAAGGTTTTTAAGTCTAATCTGTGACATTGCGTTATTTCACACTCATATATTCATCCATTCATCATTAAGCACCTACCCAAATACTGTTATGGTGCGTGTGGAGGAATCACTGGGTATGAGCCAAGGCTAACTGGCTGCCCACTCACTGCACGGCACACATTCACACTAGAGCAGTTTAGAGACACCAGTTCAACTAAGCACATGGACAGTGTAAACTAGAGTAGATGCTGGAACGGCACAATCCACACAACACGCACAACACGAGTCCATCCACACAGTGCCTAAAGGTAAGCCACTGCTCATTACACGTATGTTTATTTAAACATGTCTTATTTTACTTAATTTATTTATACAATGGTTCTTTATTTACTCAACCACATACAGTTGTACATAAATTCACAGAATCAATATACCGTTTATATTCAGATCAGAATATAATATATTCAGATCAGATTTTACTGTTGTCATTGTTTTCTATTTGACATTTAATTGATATCACAAATTCAAAATAAATTTACCACAGAAAAAATCCTGAATATTACTTTAGCAAGTCAAAATTTACGTATGTCAGATTCCCCTTCCTCTCCTGGAGCCGACATCTTATCGTGGGAGAGGGGTTTGCGTGTTCTAATGATCCCAGGAGCTAAGGCAAACAGGTTCTGGGTGAGGAACCAGACAAAGTGCGGCTCATTAGACCTCTTATGATGAGAAACACCATGGATTCACATTTTCCCTTGCCTGGATGCGGGTCACTGGGGTCCCCCCGGAGCCCTGGTGGTGGGGCTCAATGGCGAGCGCCTGGTGGCCAGGATTGCACCCATGGGGCCTGATCAGGCACAGCCCAAAGAAGGCACATGGGTCCCCCCTCCAATGGGCTCACCACCTGTAGGAGGGGCCATAGGGGTCGGGTACAGTGTGAGTTGGGCAGCGGCCGAAGGCGGGGACGTTGGTGGTCCGATCCTCGGCTGCTGAAGCTAGCTCTAGGGACATGGGATATCACCTCTCTGGCGGGGAAGGAGCCTGAGCTGGTACACGAGGTTGTAAGGTTCCAACTAGATATAGTCGGGCTCATCTTAACACACGGCTTTGGCTCTGGAACCAGTCTCCTCAAGGGGAGTTGGACCCTCTTCCACTCTGGAGTTGCTCACGGGGAGAGGCGCCGAGCGGGGGTGGGCATACTTATTGCCCCCTGGCTAGGCGCCTGTGCACTGGGGTTTACTGCGGTGGCCGAGAGGGTAGCCTCCCTAGACCGGAGTGGTGGTCCCCCTTTTCAAGAAGGGGGACCGGAGAGTGTGTTCCAACTATAGGGGGATCACACTCCTCAGCCTCCCTGGTAAGGACTATTCGGGGGTCCTGGAGAGGAGGGTCCATCGGATTGTCGAACCTCGGTTTCAGGAGAAGCAGTGTGGTTTTCGCCCTGGCCATGGAACAGTGGACCAGCTCTATACTCTCCGCAGGGTCCTAGAGGATGCGTGGGAGTTTGCCCAACCAGTCTACATGTGCTCTGTGGACTTGGAGAAGGCATTCGACCGTGTCCCTCGGGGAGTCCTGTGGGGAGTGCTCAGGGAGTATGGGGTGCCGGGCTTCCTTATAAGAGCTGTTCGATCTCTGTACGACCAGTGTCAGAGCTTGGATCTCATTGTCGGCAGTCAGTCAGACTCGTTTCCAGTGAGGGTTGGACTCCACCAGGGCTGCCCATTGGCACCGATTCTGTTCATATCTTTTATGGACAGAATTTCTAGGCGCAGCCAGGGCATTGAGGGTGTCCGGTTTGGTTTCCTCAGGATTGGGTCTCTGCTTTTTGCAGATGATGTGGTTCTGTTGGCTTCATTGGACTGTGACCTTCGGCTCTCACTGGAACAGTTTCGCAGCCAAGTGTGAAGCGGCTGGGATGAAAATCAGCACCACCAAATCCGAGACCATGGTCCTCAGCCGGAAAAGGGTGGAGTGCTCTCTCTGAGTCGGAGAGGGAGTCCTTCCCCAAGTATCTCGGGGTCTTGTTCACGAGTGAGAGAAGGATGGAACGAGAGATTGACAGGCGGATCGGTGCGGCGTCAGCAGTGATGCAGGCGCTGCATCGGTCTGTCATGGTAAAGAAGGAGCTGAGCCGAAAGCCAAAGCTCTGGATTTACCAGTCGATCTGCGTTCCGATCCTCACCTATGGTCATGAGCTGTGGGTAGTGACCGAAAGAACGAGGTTGCGAATGCAAGTGGCCGAAATGGGTTTCCTCTGTAGGGTGGCTGGGCTCTCCCTTAGAGATAGGGTGAGAAGCTCAGTCATTCGGGAGGGACTCAGAGTAGAGCCGCTGCTCCTCCGCATCGAGAGGAGCCAGATGAGGAGCCGACCCGAAAAAGCGGTAGGAGATGGATGGGTAGATGGAGATCCCCCTCCTCCCCACCATTCAGCATAGCCTAGCCCAGTATTTCCCAACCCAGTCCTTAAGGATCCCCAGCCAGTCCATGGTTTTGCTCCTACCCAGGAGCAGGGAGGGAGCAAAAACATGGACTGTCTGGGGGTCCCCGAGAACCAGGTTGGAAACACAGGCTTGGGCTTCCCTAACCTAACCTAGCCTAGTCCAAGCATTTGTTCTCTAGTAAATGTCAGACATGCGAGAACTGGGAAGATGCAGCTGCCTGCCTTGTCTGGTTATGCCAACTTGTGCATAATGGACTTTAGATGCTTTGCATAAGAGCTATCCATAAATAATGTGTCTGTCAGGGATTTTTTACGCAAGTCCAAATTTATGCAAGTCAAATGTACACAAGTAGAGGTTTGTAGGTAATAATACCACTCAAAAGAGAAAAAAAGCACCTCTTTTTAACTCAGAGCAGATGCTAATATTAAGGAAGGTAAAAACTGCATTAAGGCAGTGGGTTGTTGCCAAGCGGGCTGACTGTCATGTCGCAGCATCCAAATATCCCTGGATAAGGAAGCTAAGGGGAAGGGGCAACATGCCCAAAATAAGTTCAGCATGAGGAAAAGCAGAAGTGGGAATTCACTGTAGCAAGCGGTTTTCATTCCAGAAAACACCCTGGACCTTATAAGTGTCAATTGAAAATGAGTATTTCACAAGGCACTGTTTCGGTTAAATTCTGTTGATTCATATATGGATTTCAGAATCATTCCAGCTATCCTTTGACTAGCACTCAAAATGTGTATTTTTAGAATTGAACAATGTGGAAAACTTTTGTCTAATTTCCATACTGGGTAAAGCGGCTTGTTCACGTTCTCAATCACCTAGGTTACGCCTCTGAATTCCCGGTTGTTCCTCAGCCCCAAGAGGCGACTTTGCTTGTAGGGAGAGCTCAAAGCCAGGAAAGGTTCAAAGCTCACCGACTGGGCTTGCAAGATGGGCTGTCATGACCACAAGACTCGGGGGCAGGGGGGGTGGTAATGCATATAGAGGTAGTGGTAGTGGTGGTGGGGGGGTGACCTAATATTTGCGGCTGTCTGCGAAAGGTCAACACGCTTTTATCCACTCGGCACCTCGCAGCCAATAGAACTCTACTGTGAAATTCTACACAGCTGTGATGGCGGCGGACAGAGCAGCCGGTGCGAGAGCCCCCACCGCCTGGCGGCCTGCGCTGACGGACAGGGCCACCTGGGGACGCCAGGAGCCACTCTGAGAACTGAGAACTCTGAGGCCTCTGCGCTGTGGTGGGGAACAGCATTCTGGGAGAGCAGAGAAGAAACGTCAACTCTCAAAAAATGACAGGAGCATGCTACGAAGATCTGAAGGAGACCAGAAGGGAAGCAAAATCATTTCATGGACAAACTTAAGATTTGTTAAGATAGGAAGATTTCACGCCCTTCTTGGGGGTAGCAGGATAAGTACTCCTTAAAAAAACATTTCCAGGGCAGAAATATTGCAATGCAAGACACCTGTGGTGTCAAAGATAGATTTGTATTACACTGCTCTACATTTCAAATATGGGGATCTTTACACTGGACACATCTGAAAGTTACCAAACATGGGAAAGTTATAAGGACATTATTTACGGGGATGGGAGTTGACAACTTATCTGCTTAAAGGTCCAGA